CATCTTTATTTCTGCTTTCATTTCATTGTTTTTCCAGTCGACATTCAGGAGCCAGTTGTTCAGTTTTCATGAAGTTGTGTGGTTCTCAGTTTCTTAATCCTGAGTTCTAATTTGATTGCACTGTGGGCTGAGAGACTGTTTGATATGATTTCTGTTCTTTTGCATTTGCAGAAGAGTGATTTATTTCCAATTATGTGGTCTATTTTAAAGTAGGAGTGATGTGGTGCTGAGAAGAATATTCTAACTGTGGATTTGGAGTGGAGAGTTCTGCAGATGTCTATTCTGTGGAGTTGGAGTGGAGAGTTCTGCAGATATCTATTAGGTTCGCTTGGTCCAGATCTGAGTTCAAGTCCTGGATGTCCTTGTTAATTTTCTGTCTTGTTGACCTGTCTAATATTGACACTGGAGTGTTAAAGTCTCCCACTATTATCGTGTGGGAGTCTAAGTCTCTTTGTAGGTCGTTAAGATCTTGCTTTATGTATTGGGTGCTCTTGTGTTGGGTGCAGGTATATTTAGGATAGTTAGCTCTTTTTGTTAGATTGATCCTTTTACCATTATGTAATGCCTTTCTTTGTTTCTTTTGATCTTTGTTGGTTTAAATTCCATTTTACCAGAGACTAGGATTGCAATTCCTACTTTTTTTTTTTCTCTTCATTTGCTTGGTAAATCTTCCTCCATCCCTTTATTTTTGGCCTATGTGTGTCCTTGCACGTGGGGTGGGTTTCCTGAGTACAGCACATCAATGGATTTTGACTTTTTATCCAGCTTGCCAGTCTGTGTCTTTTGATCAGGGCATTTAGCCCATTTACATTTAAGATTAATATTGTTATGTGTGAATTTGATCCTTCCATTTTGATGCTAGCAGGTTGTTTTGCCGGTTAGTTGACTCAGTTTTGTCATTGTGTCAATGGTCTTTACCATTAGTTACATTTTTGGAGTGGCAGGTACTGGTTGTTCCTTTCCATCCATGTTTAGTGCTTTTTTTTTTTTTTTGAGACAGAGTCTTGCTCTGTCACCAGGCTGGAGGGCAGTGGTGCAATCTTGGCTCACTGCAACCTCTGTCTCCTGGGTTCAAGCGATTCTTCTGCCTCAGCCTCCCAAGTAGCTAGGACCACACCCAGCTATTTTTTGTATTTTTAGTAGAGATGGGGTTTCACCATGTTGGCCAGGATGGTCTCTATCTCTTGACCTCATGATCTGCCCACCTTTGCCTCCCAAAGTGCTGGGATTACAGGCTTGAACCACTGCACCCAGCCGTTTAGTGCTTCTTTCAGGAGCTCTTGTAAGGTAGGCCTGATGGTGATGAAATCTCTCAGCAATTGCTTCTCTGTAAAGGATTTTATTTCTCCTTTGCTTACAGAGCTTAATTTGGCTGGATATGAAATTCTAGGTTGAAAATTCTTTTCTTTAAGGATGTTGAATTTTGACTCCTACTCTCTTCTGGCTTGTAGAGTTTCTGCCAAGAGTCCCACTGTGAGTCTGATGGTCTTCCTTTTGTGAGTAACCGACCTTTCTCTCTGGCTGTGCTTAGTGTTTTTTTCTTCATTTCAACCCTGGGGAATCTGATGATTACATGCCTTGGGGTGGGTCTTATTAAGAAATACCTTTGTGGTGTTCTCTGTATTTCCTGGACTTGAAAGTTGCCCTGCCTTGCTAGGTTGGGGAAGTTCTCCTGGATCATATGCTGAAGATTGTTTCCCAGCTTGGATTCTTTCTCCCCATCACACTCAGGTACAGCTATCAAATGTAGATTAGGTCTTTTCACATAATCCCATATTTCTTGGGGGCATTATTTATTTCTTTTTACCCTTTTTCCTCTTATTGTGCCTTCTCGTTTTATTTCATTGAGTTGATCTTCAATCTCTGATATCCTTTCTTCTGCTTGGTTGATTTGGCTATTGAAACTTGTGTATGCTTCACCAAGTTCTCATGGTGTGTTTTTCAGCTCTATCAAGTCGTTTATGTTCTTCTCTAAGCTGGTTATTCTAGTTATGATTTCATCTAACTTTTTTTTCAAGGTTCTTAATTTCTTTGCATTGCGTTTGAACATATTCTTTTAGATCAGATAAGTTTGTTATTACACACCTTTTGAAGCCTGCTTCTGTCAATTCATCAGACTCATTCTCCATCCAGCTTTGCTCTCTTGCTGCTGAGGAGTTGTGATCACTTGTAGAAAGAGAGGCATTCTGGTTTTTGGAGTTTTCATCTTTTTTTGTGCTGGTTCCTTCCCATCTTCATGGATTTATCTACCTATGGTCTTTGCAGTTTGTGACTTTCAGAGGAAGGTCTCTGAGTGGATGTCCTTTTTGTTGATGTTGAAGCTGTTTCTTTCTGCTTGTTAGTTTTCCATCCAACAATCAGGCCCCTCTTCTGCAGGACTGCTAGAGGTCCACTCCAGACCCTGCTTGCCCGAGAATTACCCACAGGGGCTGCAGAACAGTGAGGGTTGCTGACAGTTTTTTTTTTTTTTTTTGTTATCTTTGTCCCAGAAGGGTACCCAGCAGATGTCAGCCAGAGCTCTCCTTTATGATGTGCCTCTTTGGATATATGGGAGTCAGGAAGCCACTTGAGGAGATTGTCCCTTATCAGAGCTCAAGTGCTGTGCTGAGAGCTCCATTGTTCCATTCAGAGCTGCTGGGCAGGTACATTTAATTCTGTTACAGCAGAATTCATAACCACCTCTTTTCCCAGGTACTTTGTCCTGGGAAGCTGGGACTTAATAAATTCCTGATGTGCTGCAGCTTTTTTTTGTCAGAGATGTCCAACCCCACATGCAGGTAGTCTAGTCACAGTCTGCCAGTAGAGGCATTGCTTAGATGCTGTGGTCTCTGCCCAGCTGCTGTGTACACTTCCTTGCAGTTTTGCTTATAGAGGTATGTTTAGAACCGCGTTGGTAATGGCAGTCACCCTCAGTAATGGCGAATTGCCTTGGTAATGGCGGATTGCCTCAGTAATGGTGGACTTCCTTGGTAATGGCCTTCTGCATCAGAGATGGTGGACTGCCTCGGCAGTGGTGGACTGCCTCAGTAATGGTGGACACCATTCCTGCACAGAGCTGGATCATCCTGTGTCCAGCTGTGCTTGCATTGAAACTCTCAATCCAGAGCATTTCAGATTGCTGGTCTTTGTGGTGATGGGACATGTCAAGCCAGATCACCTGGCTCCCTGCTTTCAGCCCCCTCTTTTTCAGTTAAATGGGTGGCTCTGTCTCCCAGGTGTTCCAGGTGCTAGTTGAAATGGTTGCCCAGATTTGTGTGAGTTTTTGTGTGGAAACCCATGGTGCCAGCTGAAACAGCTGTACTGGAAACTTGTGGTGCTCTTCGGACTGGGAATCTTCTGTTCTGTGGGCAGTAAAAACTATGGGAGAAGCTCATTGTCTGAACTGGAGCTGGAGTGGCTGGAAAAGTACCCGATGGCCTCTGTTGGGTAGGGATGGGAGTCCTTCAGGGATTGTACTTCCTGGGTGAGGCAGCTCCCTGCCTCTCCTCGGCTTGTCCTTCTTGGGCTACACTCACTGTGAAACCAGTCCCATTGAGATGCACCTGGTACCTCATTTGGAATTGCAGTGATCAGTCACCGCCTGTGTTGCTCTTGCTGGGAACTGCACTCCAGAGCTGTTCTTATTCAGTCATCTTGAATCTCTCCTGAGGTGTTTTTTTTTTGTTGTTGTTTTGTTTTTTTTTCATGTGCTAATGGTGTTAGAGTGTGAAACTACTAGTCCTTTCAGGGTTTTCTGATGAATTTGAAACATCCACAGTGAACTCCCTTATTTGCTGTCCTGCGGTGTTGACAGGGAGAGAAGAAGAGCAAGGACTGTTGAATGCCTGGATTCACCTCCACTATCCCCAGGGGAAATCCACTAAAACCTATGTCCTATGCTGTGGGCTGTGAATGAGTCAAAACAAACAAAAGAAAACAAAGGATTCCCAGGAAACTCCATCCAGATGAAATCCTTAATCTGCAGGGTAAGTACAATGGACGAGAAGCTGAGGACACTAATGAGAACACTTTGTGGTTGGGAAAGGAAACTCTAACCCTGGGGGAAGAGGAAAGGACAGGAAATGTTGGAAGCTCACCCCAGAGCCATGATTACTACTTACGAGTAAGAAGGACACTTATTGGAAAGGTTGGAGAATGTCCCCATGTGTTCAGACCCCTTCGCCACATGGTCAACTAGGTCTGCAGAGTAATGACCTAGTTGTATCAGCTCCATTCTGGCCTCTGTCTTGTGATAGTTCTTTGTAGATTTGCTTTCTCCTCTCTCATGATTTATTTGTTCTCTCAACTCCTAGCTCAATTCTCCTTTTAATTATTAGTTTATTGAAGTGATTCACATTTAGCTTAGAACATTAAAACCTTTAAAGACATTTTCATCTTAAACCCATCAAATCTAATCGTGTCTCTCCAGGAGTGCCCAACTCCGTTTGTGTCCTCCTTTCCTTTAGGGTACGGCCCTTGTTTCTACCTGAGTCCAGCTCTTACTTTCATGTGCCTGAGTCTAGCCATCACACACCCAGAAACATCTTGTAGGAATGTACCCTACCGTCCGTCTCCCCAGCCTTCATGTGCACAGTGGCTGTGCCTTCAGCTGTGATAAGTGATTAGGGATTTCCATTTTAAAAGTGTCTTTCATTATTCTTCAAAATAAAGTTCTTGGACCTTAAATACCTTCAAGGTTCAGTATTCTTCTCTGTCCCTTTGTTGTTAATATTGTTTTATTCCATTAAAATTCACTGGGAACATCAGTGATGTAGAAGTGACATGCCTACCCATCGCATTGTCTGACTTCTGCATAACTGACCACCCAGGAGCTTGTAGTTGATGGGGCTATCTGGAACTTTATCAATAGAAGGTTTGTAATTTATTAGGGAATGACTGAGATCAGCAGGTGCCTGAGCTCCTAAGAACGCAGGTGTGGTCCTGCAGTAGAGTCCGTGTTACTGAAATCACATCTGTGTATAATTCGTGGCCTCAGCCAAGAAGCTGCTGCCAGCTTCTGGTCATTTCTGCGTAGCCCGATGGGGGTTGTCCACAGAAGGATGGATGCAGGATGTGGATATTAGAAACTGATGTGGTGTTGGGGGCATTGACAGCCAAACTTCATTGAAAGTCTCTTCTACCCTTGGTACTTGGGGATGTCTGGGAAGAAAGGAACAAAACTCAGACCCCAGTTAGCTCCTCATTAAGTTAGAGATTCAGTGCAATTTTAGAAAGTTGAAGAAATAAACTATACTTTCAGGGATCATGTCTATAGTTCATTTGAGGAAGTAGAAGAAAAACTGTGCTGTGGGTGATGTTGGTGTGGTTTTCTGTGATATACTTATGAGACAGCAGAAGATGGTCGGTGGTCAGTCTCTAACCAGCTGGTACTTGTTGTCCATTTGTTACTTCCAAATAAAAGATAAAAGACATCTTGTGTGGTAAAGACACCAGGGATCGTTTCAGAGACCTTGAACAAAAATGGCCAACAGGGCCATGATGCAATTTTATATGAGAGCTACTATTTTTGCCGACTTCATGTGGAAATCTGAGAGCTGTGTCCAGCCTCAGGGGGCTGCTTCTCCTTCCAGGAGACAGAGCTAACAGAGTTATGTGGGATTAGTCTGTGTGGGTTTTCATAAGAAGGCAACAGTTGTGGGTGGCTTAAAGAACAAACGCTGATTTTTATCACAATTCTGCAGTCTGAATGTTGAAGATCAAGGTGCTGTCAGGGTTGGTTCTTGGTGAGGCTTCTTCCTGGCTTGCACAGGGCCACCTTCTAGTGCACTACATATCAACATGACTCTTCTCTGTGTGCACGTGGAAAATGAGAGGTCTCTGGTGTTATTTCGTCTTCTTACAAAGACAACAGTTCTAATCCATTAGGTTCTCACACTCATGACCAAAGTTAACCTTAATTGTATCCTTACAATTCTGTTCTCCAATACAGATCCATTGGATTTAAGGTTTCAGCATATGAATTTCAAAGGGCACAATTCAATTGATGACACAAATCAAGAGATGCTGAGAAGAATTAGTATTTTTTTTAAAATCAGTAAGGTGTAATAGGTCACGCAGTAACATTTAGGAAAGTTTCTAGTAACTGTTGAAACTTCAACTGTAAGAGAAAAATTTGTCTTCCTCCTTTCTTTGCTGGCACAAGGATGTGAGGAAGCAGAACCACAGATCATAAAGAAAGGAGCCCTGGACACAGCTCAGGTGCTGGCGGGGAGGGAGCCCACTGAGCCCATGAGGAAGCCCCGCCCTCCCTGCACCTGCTCCGGACCCGCCTCGGACTCTGCGGGCCCCGCGCGCCCCCTGCTGGTCCTGAGCAGCACCTGCGCCCGCTCCGCCGCTGCCCTGCAGGTTTGTGTCTGGGCTCACACTCACCTCCCCTCACTGTGTCCCGCACAGTAATACACGACCGTGTCTGCGGTGGTCACAGAGCTCAGCCTCAGGGAGAACTGGCTCTTGGACGTGTCTGTTGATAGGGTGACTCGACTCTTGAGGGACGGGTTGTAGTAGGTGCTCCCAATATAACTGATTCTCCCAATCCACTCTAGCCCCTTCCCTGGAGGCTGGCGGATCCAGCTCCACCAGTAATCACTGCTGATGAAGTAACCATAGACAGCACAGGTGAGGGACAGGGTCTCTGAAGGCTTCACCAGTCCTGGGCCCCACTGCTGCAGCTGCACCTGCACCTTGGATAGGACTCCTGTGAACAGAGAGACACACCGTGAGCCCTGGGCTCAGAGGCAGTCCCCCCATATCTTCATATCTGCACCCCTGAGACACTCACTTCTGGAAGCTGCCACCAGGAGGAGGAAGAACCACAGGTGTTTCATGCTCTTGCAAGTGAGGTCCATGACTCTAAGAAAGCATTTCCCATGTGAGCAGGACCCTGAATTTAAAAAACGTGTGGTGGTTTCCTGTGGGTGCCTAAGTGAGGATTTGCATGTGGGTGGTGCCTTTGTATGGAACAGTGAAAAGGGATGAGGAAACCCCAGCCTTTCAGGCTCTCCCTGGGAGGAGGATGCTGGCTGTGCCCTCTGAGAACCCAGTTGTCTTCCTGGTGCCTCCCCTCCCCAAGCCGAGTCCTCTTCTTCCAGATAGGGAGATGTGCCGAAGGAGCTGGTCTGGGAGATAAGTGTCATCATGGATAACGGACAGATTTTGGAATAGGGTCAATACTGTTCTATCCTTAAAAATTCACATAAGACAAACCTCACATTCAGGTCATCTAAATCGTCATTTACCTATTCAGACCCATTGAAACAGGAGCTGAATGTAATAATCAAAATGAATTCAGACAAGCCTGAATTCATCTGATGTTTATTTTAGTTCAGAACACCAGTCATGTTTAGAGGGAAGCTCCCTGTCCCAGGAAGTGGGTCATTTTAAAAAAGCACCTAAGAGCAGCCCTTTGCAACCTTTTGAAATACAGGATTCTGCCTGAGATCTCAGGAGAAGGTCTTGGGACTATCACTTCTCAATGTGTGACTCTGAAGATGTGGCCAGACCTCTAAACACTTCTGTGTGAAAATATGTAGATTGGGGATTGCAGTGACAGCTTTAGACAAAAACTCTATAACAGGTCAGCTCTGCAGGATAGTCTCCGAAATCTGTGCAACTGCCATTCCTGGGAACCAGAGATGACCTCTGTGAGTCCTCTCTTCTGAGGGCACAAGGAACTCTGGTCCTTTCCTGACAGATCATACTTGTGGAACATGGCTGGCCAATGACATTCAAGCCCAGAGTCCTTACACACATATTTATCAATTCAGAGCCATCTGTCGCTGAAAGACTTTCTCAATTGAATTGTATAAACCTAATCTGGGGTGTGTGGTATTGCAACTTGGATATTTGACATTAGTTTGGTGAAATGTCAAAATCAGTATATATTAATTTATCTTTCTTTTTTTCTGTTACAGACAGATACTTGTTCAGTTAATAAGTAACATATCTCCATGGATGTAGGTAACAGGAGAGTCATCAGAAGTTGGGTGTGTCATAAACTCAGGGCAAACCTGGGCTCTCTTTCTGGGACCTGGACAAGTGAACTGACCTTCTGTGAGATAACAGAGGCAAAGAGACAGACTCAACATCCAGAGCCAGGTGAGCTCCTTATCTACCTGGTGGTCTCTGGGCCTTTTGTTTGAACAGATCCAGAAAGACCTTCATCCCCTGGCTCCTTTTTCACCCTCAGAAGAATTATGAACGTTGAGGGAAATTGAGGTAAATTTTTATTTACAGATAATTCATAGGCTTGTAGACATTTATGTGGGTATGTACAGGGATGCTAGGATATGGTCATACAAAGAACAGAAAAAATTATGGTTCGTGGAGAGAAAACCAAAGAGCTTCTGAATAGGTAGGTACTGTTTACCACAAATATGTCAGGTCACTAGATCATGTTATAATGCTGGAGGTAAAACTTCCCAATATTGCCATAGAGACAAAATGCAAAAGAGTAAAGATTCAAGTGAGATTCCTTTGAAAATCACCAGTAATGAACATGCCAAAAGAAATTAACCATTATAGAAAGTGTGGTAATTAAATCCAAACACAATGACTTCTATTCTGTTTCTGAGCAAGACAAACTCTTACCTGCTTTAGAACCTTTTCAGTTCTCTGTTCTACGTGCTCTTCTCTACGCCTGCAGCAAGCTAAACTGGTACTTCAGAGAGGCTTCTGCCCACATTTTCAAGAGTAGAATTAAGTTCTCTGCTTTCTGTCACATCACCTTCTTTCTATCATATTACGATTGCAGTTTGTAATTATTGATTAATTAATATGTTATTTTCTTTTTTTTTAATTGCATTTTAGGTTTTGGGGTACATGCGATGAACATGCAAAATTGTTGCATAGGTACACACATGGCAGTGTGGTTTGCTGCCTTCTGTCCCCTCACCTGTATTTCTCATTTCTCCCCATGCTATCTCTTCACACCTCCCCACCCTCCGCCCCTCCCCCATTTCCCCCCAACGGACCCCAGTGTGTAGTGCTCCCTTCCCTGTGTCCATGTGTTCTCATTGTTCAACACCCGCCTATGAGTGAGAATATGCGGTGTTTGATTTTCTGCTCTTGTGTCAGTTTGCTGAGAATGATGGTTTCCAGGTTCATCCATGTCCTTACAAAGGACGTAAACTCATCATTTTTGATGGCTGTGTAATATTCCATGGTGTATATGTACCACATTTTCCCTATCCAGTCTATCATCGTTGGGCATTTGGGTTGGTTCCAGGTCTTTGCTATTGTAAACAGTGCTGCAATGAACATTCGTGTGCACGTGTCCTTGTAGTAGAATGATTTATAATCCTTTGGATATATACCCAGTAATGGGATTGCTGGGTCAAATGGGATTTCTATTTTTAGGTCCTTGAGGAATCGCCACACTGTCTTCCACAATGGTTGAATTAATTTACATTCCCACCAACAGTGTAAAAGTGTTCCTATTTCTCCACATCCTCTCCAGTATCTGTTGTTTCCCGATTTTTTAATGATCACCATTCTAACTGGTGTGAGATGGTATCTCAATGTGGTTTTGATTTGCATTTCTCTGATGACCAGTGATGATGAGCATTTTTTCATATGTTTGTTGGCCTCCTGTATGTCTTCTTTTGTAAAGTATCTGTTCATATCCTTCGCCCATTTTTGAATGGGCTTGTTTGTTTTTTTCTTGTAGATCTGCTTTAGTTCTTTGTAAATTCTGGATATCAGCCCCTTGTCAGATGGGTAGGCTGCAAAAATTTTTTCCCATTCTGTTGGTTGCCGATTCACTCTGACTGTTTCTTTTGCCGTGCAGAAGCTGTGGAGTTTGATTAGGTCCCATTTGTCTATTTTGGCTTTTGTTGCCATTGCTTTTGGCATTTTGGTCATGAAGTCCTTGCCTACACCTATGTCCTGAATGGTTTTGCCTAGATTTTCTTCTAAGGTTTTTATGGCATTAGGTCTGATGTTTAAGTCTTTAATCCATCTGGAGTTAATTTTGGTGTAAGGTGTCAGGAAGGGGTCCTGTTTCTGCTTTCTGCACATGGCTAGCCAGTTTTCCCAACACCATTTATTAAACAGGGAATCCTTTCCCCATTGCTTGTTTTTGTCAGGTTTGTCGAAGATCAGATGGTTGTGGGTATATTGTATTTCCCTTGAGGCCTCTGTTCTGTTCCATTGGTCTGTATCTCTGTTTTGGTACCAGTACCATGCTGTTTTGATTACTGTAGCCTTGTAGTATAGTTTGAAGTCCGGTAGTGTGATGCCTCCTGCTTTGTTCTTTTTGCTTAGAATTGACTTGGCTATGCAGGCTCTCTTTTGGTTCCATATGAAGTTTAAGGTGTTTTTTTCCAGTTCTGTGAAGAAGGTCATTGGTAGCTTGATGGGAATAGCGTTGAATCTGTAAATTACTTTGGGCAGTATGGCCATTTTCACGATGTTGATTCTTCCTAACCATGAACATGGAATGTTTCTCCATCTGTTTGTATCCTCTCTTATTTCGTTGAGCAATGGCTTGTAGTTCTCCTTGAAGAGGTCCTTTACTTTCCTTGTTAGTTGTATTCATAGGTACTTTATTCTCTTTGTAGCAATTGTGAATGGCAGTTCGTTCTTAATTTGGCTCTCTTGAAGTCTATTACTGGTGTATAGGAATGCTTGTGATATTTGCACGTTGATTTTGTATCCTGAGACTTTGCTGAAGTTGTTTATCAGTTTCAGGAGATTTTGGGCTGAGGTGATGGGGTCTTCCAGATATACAATCATGTCATCTGCAAATAGAGACAATTTGATTTCCTCCTTTCCAATTTGGATACCCTTTATTTCTTTTTCTTGCCTGATTGCTCTGGCTAGAACTTCCAGTACTATATTGAATAGGAGTGGTGAGAGAGGGCATCCTTGTCTAGTGCCAGATTTCAAAGGGAATGCTACCAGTTTTTGCCCATTCAGTATGATATTGGCTGTTGGTTTGTCGTAAATAGCTTTTATTGTTTTGAGATACGTTCCGTCAGTACCTAGTTTATTGAGGGTTTTTAGCATAAAGCGTTGTTGAATTTTGTCAAAAGCCTTCTCTGCATCAATCGAGATAATCATGTGGTTTTTGTCTTTGGTTCTGCTTATGTGGTGAATTACGTTTATGGACTTGTGTATGTTGAAAGTTCTTTTCTTTAAGGATGTTGAATATTGGCCCCCAATCTCTTCTGGCTTGTAGGGTTTCTGCTGAGAGATCTGCTGTGAGTCTAATGGGCTTCCCTTTGTGGGTAACCCGACCTTTCTCTCTGGCTGCCCTTAGCATTTTCTCTTTCATTTCAACCCTGGTGAATCTGACGATTATGTGCCTTGGGGTTGCTCTTCTTGAGGAATATCTTTGTGGTGTTCTCTGTATTTCCTGGATTTGAATATTGGTCTGCCTTGCTAGGTTGGGGAAGTTTTCCTGGATAATATCCTGAAGAGTATTTTCCAGCTTGGATTCATTCTCTTCATCACATTCAGGTACACCTATCAGACGTAGATTAGGTCTTTTCACATAGTCCCACATTTCTTGAAGATTTTGTTCATTCCTTTTTGCGCTTTTTTCTCTGTTCTTGCCTTCTCTTTTTATTTCATTGAGTTGATCTTCAACCTCTGATATCCTTTCTTCTGCTTGGTCAATTCGGCTGTTGAAGCTTGTGCATGCTTCACGAAGTTCTCCTGTTGTGTTTTTCAGCTCCATCAGTTCACTTATACTCCTCTCTATGCTGTCCATTCTCGTCAGCAGTTCGTCCAATCTTTTTTCAAGGTTCCTAGTTTCTTTGCGTTGGGTTAAAACATGTTCTTTTAGCTCACTGTAGTTTCTTACTACCCACCTTCTGAAGTCTGATTCTGTCATTTCATCACCCTCCTTCTC